CCTGCAGCATGGATAAAACAGAAGAGCTTTAGAGATGTGGGAAAGAGAAGAAATAGCTACAAGCGCCCTTCTGTTTTCTTGGTGGCGTGTCTCTGAGCTGCCACATAAACAGCCTGAGCTGTGAGCCTGCTGCTTTCCTCTTCCCAAAAGCAATGGCAGAGCTTAAGGGCAGATATGTGTGGCTCAGAGCAGTCAGGCGTCCACTATGTGCTCTCCCCAACCGAGCTACAGCCAGATTTCCAGGCATCCACTGGAGCTGAGGCCCTGGACAAGAGATCAGCAGCTTCTTGGAAAACATGGAAGAATATAAAGGGTACATCTGGGACTGGGAGTAAAAGCAGTAACTAGGAGAGATGCTTGCAGGCCCTCTTATATAGGACAGCGCATCCACATCTGTGACCTTAAAATTAATCATGCAAAACCTCTGCAAAACCCACAAGGAAAGATCAGACCCCGATCAATTGCTTGTTCCCTACTGGCAAATTAGGGCTTGCTTCTGACAAGAAGGGATGCTAACCAGTGCCCAAATGAGAACAAGGTGGGATACTCACTTGACATAGTACTTGTGCAGCAGGCTTAGGTTCTCCTGGAACAGCCTCAAATAGCTCTCCAAGGAGTTTTCGTTGAGGGCTAGGTACAGCCATGCCCGGCCTGCAAAGAAAGCAGCAGAGAGATTTATCTGTGGGGAAGCGCCTGAGAAGCGAAGCAAGCCTGGAAATAAACACAAAATCAGTTAAAACACCTCAGATCCTTCATTTGCATTTGTATCATTTCAGGGGAGCAACTGACCATGGGGGAAATCTGTGGGGAAAAATGTCATGGGAGATGAAGGGGCAGATTCGTGATTCGGAGTGGAAATAAGAGACTGCACGGTAGCCGGCTGAGAAGCAGACACACAACTGTGTCTCTCCAGTGAGATGGAAGCCCTGCTGGCATTTCCAGCAGGGATCAGGAGACAGGAGAGACAGAGGGAGAATCGCTCTAAATCAGCACAGGTGCAATTTGAGATATCACAAATTCTGGTGCAGAGACAGGTGATGGTGGAGCCTGCGCTCAGCTCCGCTCTCACCGGTACGGGGCTTGGGAGATGAAGGGCGTTGGGATAATCAGGCAGAGAGGAGGTCTCTGGGCACCGTCCTGCGTCAAAAGCAGCCTTGATGGTCCCAAACATCCGCTACAGACAACTCGCAGCAGGGGAGAAGCAGCATCGGGCAAAGAACAGCTACAGCAAGACGTTCTGGGGTGAGAGGTGATGTCTCCCATCTGCCACAAACCCGTCCCGAGAGCACGGCCCAGCAGATCGCTTTGGTTTCACGGCAGCAGAAGCAGGACTACGTCTCTGACCCAACACCCGATCCTGAGGCACGGTGCAATTATTTCTAGAGCCATCATGCGGTTATGGCAGGACTCCCACCTCCCTGGCCTGAGCAAAGCGACCCGGAGTCAGCGCAGAGCTGCCTGCTGGCTCCCTCCATCCGCCCGCAGCTCCAGCCCTCGAACATGCAGCCAGCACAACCGGCCTGGGCCTCCTGCCAGATGGCCCCAAACCAAGGTTTGCCCTCAGAGCCGGGGCAGCGTCTGCGAATACTCACTGCGTCCCAGGTTGGTGGCCACATGTTGAAGCACTTCTATCTGTTTGACGGCTTCCCGGCGGGTGAAGTGCACGACCAGCACCCAGTAGCCCGAGGAAAGATCTTGCAGGCTGGAAGAAGAAAGAAACCCAGAGGAAGGTTAAGCAAGGGCTTCGTTATCTCCATCCCAATTACTGCCTAGATGGCTTCCCCACGCTGGGGCTACACGGTAGGCAAAGCACGGTGAAAAGCATCCCCGCAGCCCACCGTCAGGCTCCACGCTTACCCGTAGAGCAGAGCATGGTCCAGATGTTCGCAGAGCCGCTGCAGGACCTTGTCATGGTTTCTGATGGCCGGCGTCTCGTCTTCACAGGCAGCGAAGTAGCTCTGCAGCTGCGAAAAGAAGAGATGGGATGGCTGAAACGCCCTTCTACAGCCCACTGAGGACGCAGATGGAGATGCCAACACACTCACAACCGGCATTAAATACCTTTTTTAAATCTCTCAGCTCGCTAAACCGTGACGCAGGTTACTTACAGGGTGTAGCAATTGGTTTAAGAGTACCCTAAAGGTAGTAACTCGTAGCAAGAACCTCACCCGCAAAGATTCATGCACTTCTCAGAGACATGCCAGCAGCGTGCCCGCGGCTGCACAACCAACTTCCCTGTTTGTTGAGCAGGCGGGCTGAGCTGCACAGTCTCCTCCTTTACAGCTAACACTCCAGCGGGGTTTTGGTGGTTCCACTGCAGGCAGCGCAGCCATCGCAAAGCAGTTCAGAACAGAAATAAATCAAGGCTCTGGCTCTGTTTCTATCTCTGCCATGGGTGAGTCCCCTCCTCGGTCTCAGGGTCTTGCCATGGGAAACCCTGGTTGGGGAGAGACGTTGCTTCCAGGTATAAAAGACACTCCGAGGCCAGGAGCCTCAAACTTGCAGCACGCGTGCTCTGTGCTAAATCTGTGCGAAATCTCATCGCGCTTTCGGCATCCCAGGAAGAGACAGAGGTTTTCTTGTTACAGGCAGCTCGAGTGACTGCCGCAACGCTGGGTATTGATGCCAGGCAGCTGAGAGCTGCCCCAGACTTCCAAACGCAGGCTGGTACAGATCGCCTGGCCGCCCAGCAGCAGGGACTCGGAGGGTGCAGAGGGCAGCGCAGATACAGACGGAGGCACGTGCGTATGGGACAAAGGCAGCTCAATTAATCCCGAGTCGTTTCCTTCTGCTGGGGCGAGGCTACATCGCTACCACGCATCACGTCATGTAGCTGCCGCTCTCTCAAAAATCAGGACGGCTTGACTCATCCTCGGTTAACTCGCTCGCAGCTGCAAAGTTAGCTCTAAAGTCAGCGCTGGCCCTGCGCTCTGCTGACAACAGCCCTCGGAGGCTCGACACAGCGTAAATGGCTTTTCTGCTTCTGCAAGACCTGTTAGAAATCCTAGAAATCCCCTTACACCCAAATCCTAAATCCCTTCCCAACTGACCCACCGGCCTCCTCTTGACCCTGGAGCTTACAGATCTATTTAGGCCCCCGTCTTGCACATACTTGGCATTCAGGCAGGGAGATTACTCACCCAGGATGTAATCCCAGCCGTATATGCCACATTTATTTGCTCCGGCTGGTGACAAGTGAGCACGGTTCAGCTGAGCCACGACAACGCATCACCTGTACGTACATTATTTTGGTGACCCGATACGTCTTTGCCAAACCTCACCCGTTAGATGGTAGATTTAAAAACCCCAAACTTGATGGTATTGTGCTTGTCGAGTCTGACCTGTCCCCAGAAACTGGTTTCTCCTCCTGAATTATTATTAGAGCCAGAGAAGCGCCTTTAGAAAAATCATCCGGTCTCAATGTAAAAGTTATCAGGGGGACAGAGAACACCCCACAGCACCTGGGGAACTGTTCCCAACAACCCTCTTAAAAACATGAATTTATCGAGCTCCAACACCTTCCTGGCTTGAAGACCTTGACTCTCTCTGGAGCTCTTAAGATGGGAGAGCCAGGCGTGTTCCTGCACGGAGCAGGTCCCAGCCCTTACGTGGGAAAGAACTGCTGAGCTGGAATAATCGCAGCCAAATTCCCTCGTCCGATTGCACAGCGCAGTTCAGCCTGTCCCTGTCCCGTCTCGTCCAGAAGGTAAATCCCCTGGGGAAGGAAACACGTGATAACGTTTTGCTTGCAGAGCCACCTGTGGGTGCTCCGGCGATGCACAGAATTTTTCACAACACCCAGGTGAGACCTGAAGCATTTCAGCTCAGCAGCTCTTACCCCTTTTTGGGAGGAAGCTGTCCCAGAAGACTTACACTATTAATAGGCAGCCCAGACCCAAGCAGGGAGAAGAATGCCCTAAAACCCCACTATTCAAGAGCTATTTCAGGAGCTACCTGCAGCCAGTGTTTTAAGCTCACTCCTGCAGCGAGGACACTAGAGGAAGAAACAAAGTCGTCATTTAGAGCCGTATCTCTCTGGCAATGGACAGATGGAGCCACAGGAGATGTTCTCCAAAAGCGGACTGGAGCTCACTAAAATATCCCATTTTTGGGGAAACTGAGGCAGGAAGCAAAGCCCCTACTATATGGGACGTGAGGCAGGATTTGAAGGCAGAAATTCCTGACTTGTCCCAACCAAGCCATTGCCTCTGCAGAGAGCTGGGGTACCCTCGGAGGAGGGTTCCTGTCCTGGGTGTTTCTGCAGGCTCTGTGCTGGCTTGAGGAAATGCAGCTGCGGGGGGCGGCTAGGGGGAAACAAAAATAAATCAGGCACTCCGTTAGCTTACCACTAAAAACAAGGAGCCACGCAGCCAGCTCTGCGGGGAGGTCGTCTCGGAGGGAACTTGGAGCCTGTCTGTGCCACTGACTGGAGGAATTCCCCATGACAGAGAGACTCCAAGCCTGGGCAGTGAAAGAGATGAGCAAATAGAAGCATTTCCTCTTTTTTTCTTTCCTTCCTTCTCCAAAAATAATTTAATCTTTGCTACAGTCCTTCCTGCAGCCAGTTCACAGATCCCAACCCTCTCCGTTGCTTCACAGACCGACCTGCTCCCATCATCAGAGGATGCAAACCGTTAGCAAACGCTGGTTGTCTCATCTGAGCACCTCTGAACATCGAGAAGCACCAGGGAATTTCTGAAAAACAGATCTCTCTTCCGCAGAAAAGCCAAATCCTCCCCCCATGAAGGGATCTAGGTTTTGAAGGACTTGTTCTGCGTTATATTAAGGCTTGGTGTTACTTTTAGCTGCTCTGCAAGGAGCACGCAGCCTCCTGCCCCGCACAACGCAGCTACCCCTGCATCGCACCCCCTTCCTGGGGACGCTGCTGGAAAACCCAGCCCCATAGCCATGTCCAGAGCAAACCTATCCCAAAACGCTCAACTCTGCCCCTCTGCAACGTCAGGAGCCAGAGGATGAGCTGGTGTGACTGTGCTTTGCTCAGAGTCATGGGGTCAGGCCAGCCCTGTGCATGTGGGACCTTGCAAGGGGGAAACGCATGCTCAGCAGTTTTGGATTTGGATTCGGGCGCTCTGAGTCACAGCATTTTAGAAGCTGCCAGTCACAGGGAAGTGCACCAAGGGCTCGCTCCTACTCGCAGGCACAAAGATGTGCCGCCAAATCCCTGGATGGTGCTACGTCAAGGGCTGGTGCCGTTTCCAGCATCCCTCCAAAATAAACGGGGCCAATGGCTTACAGCCCCGAGCGAAGGAGGCGCATGGCTTGCCAGAGCACAACAAGCCCCAGAAAGAGACCGGCAGAAGAGATCAGGTCAATCCTTACCGTGCTACCACGTTTCCAAGGAGGAAACAAGACAGAACAAGCCTTGGGATCTCCTGGGTGGAGTTATCCCTGCAGCAACGATGGCGAAAGGCTGCGACTTGCAAAAGCTGATGGGGAGGTGTTTTCGGCTTGGGAAGAAGGGTGAAGACACACATGGAAGAAAGGTACAACAAAATAGCTTTCCCAGTTGGGGAACAAAATCCAGTTGCATCATTTCCCAAAGCTGGCCCACTCCAAGATCCACCTTGCCCAAAATCCCTAGGAATTAAGACTTCAAGCATCTTGGGGCAGGGGCACAGACCATGGATGGTCCCAGCATCCGACCTCGATCGTGCAGCACAGGCGGGAGTGATGCGGCACTGCCCTGAAAAAATGGTATTTATATGGGGTGTTTACTTCTCTCCTGTAAATCGCTATAAAACACAAATGAATAATTTGAAACCAACCTCTCCCTAATCACGGCGTGGCAGACAGACCTGTTTGGGAGGTGGTGACAAAACTTTATGAAGCATCCACAAAGCAGCTCGCTGACATACCTGGGCAGCGAGCCGGGCCGGAGCCGGGGAATATCAGGAAGGAGGCAAGCAATAAGGTTAAAAAGCATTAATCAAAAGCTACATTGGTCATCCCTGGGTTTTCCAGA